GACTCTGGGCCCCTGGTCTGAGGGCCCAGCGGTCCAGACTTCGGAGTGTTTCTTCCCTTGGCAAGGTTCAGGCTCGGATCGGCGCCGTGTCAGGCCCGTGCGCAGCGCAGGGGTCAGCCTGGACATCACGACTCCCGTCCCTCGGCTTCGAAGGGGCAGCGGCCGCCGCCCTCGGCAGCCAGGACGGGCCCGCTGGCCGTCCCGCTTCTGCTGCTGCTTCGTACGGCCTCCTCGTCCCTCGTTTGTGCCAGATCTAGAGGTTGCGGGGCTGCAGGGCTTGGACTGCCCGACTGCTGTGGTTGCGTTTGCCCAGCGGTTTGAGCTGCCTCAGGAGGAGGAGGAGGAGGAGGAGGAGGAGGAGGAGGAGGAGGAGGAGGAGGAGGAGGAGGAGGAGGAGGAGGAGGAGGAGGAGGAGTTGTAAGCTCGGCACTGCGTCTTCGGACAAGGGGGCACCTGCCCCAGATGGTCAGCCTCAGTCTCAGTCTCAGCCTCCTCCTCCTCCTCCTCCTCCTCCTCTCCTCTTCCTCCGACGCCCGCGGGTCCTCGAGGCGGCGGGCCTCCGAGGAGAGGCGCCGGTACTGCTCGACCCACTCCAGGCGCTGCTGCCCGACCTTGCCCTGCTGCTTCTGGCTGGCCGCCGCCTGCTTCACCCTGCCGAGCTTCGCGAGGATGTCGGAGTCCTTCGCCTGCGAGGCGCGTCCAAAAGGTGCCTGTTTTGCTTTGGATTCGGGCAAGTTACTTGCATGGACGGGGGGGGGGGCTGAGTCTGAAGCAAGCCGAAAACAGTTCGACGTGCGGAAATCACGCAAGTCGAAAGGCACTTGCACGCTCGTGTTCGATTGAAGAGGGGCGAGGGGGGAGAGGGGGGGGGGGGGCGAACGCCATGCAAGTAAGCTTGCCTGGATCTAAAGAAAAACAGGCTCGAGCTCGAGGAGCTCTCGCCGTCTTCGGCCCCACAAGGGGCCCGTGTCGGCCCCCCGGGGCAGGCAAAACCGGACCTCGGAGGAAAATCTGCCCAGGACGGGCCCAGGGGCAAATTTTCGGCGGCGCGCAATCATGGATTAGCGATCCACATGGATGTGGCGCGCGGTCGCCAAATCCATGGATCGGGGGAGGCGCCCTCCTACAGGCGGATTTTGAAAGAAAACTGAGACATAGTCAAAACATAATCAACAATAGTCAAACGTAGTCGAAACATCGTCCCGAGACTATGTTTTTACTATTCTTGAATATTCCTCCTGTGCTGTAGAGGGACGACGTGCCCGACTTCAGCTTGGGGATCCGATTGTGCGCCCCCCGAACCTTCGCGGCCTCGAGGCTGATGGGTATCTTCGGCATCAGGGCGAGCTCGGCGCGCTGCCCAGCTTGTGTGGGCCGCCGCGCCAGGCTACGTCACCAGCGGGGAGCCGGCGGGCGGCCGAGCGCGGCGCTAATGCCCGCGGCTGGCTCGGGGCCTGTCCTGGAGGGCAGGCAACTATGTCGAAGTCGGGCATGTCCCTCGACAGGAGGGGTACTCAAAAGTAGTAGAAACATGCTCGGGGGACGTTTTTTTTTTTTTTTTTGGGGGGGGGGGGGGTTACATATATTCTTCTTCTTCTTCTTCTTCTTCTTCTTCTTATTATTAGTATTATTATTATTATTATGATCATTATTATCATTATCATCATCATCATTATTATTATTATTATTATTATTATTATTATTATATATGTGTATACACACTTTTTGGCCATTCTCAAAATCCGCCTGTGGGAGGACACGCCCGACCTAAAACTAGATCCGCCACCTTGCACTCGAGGCACGAGTCAGAGCGTCCTTGGATCTCTTGTGGGATCTCCTGGGGCCCAGAGGGCCCCGAGAAGCCCCAAGACGGTCTCAGATGGCCCCGAATCGGCGAATAAAAAGGCCTGGACCAACAATTGCCCAATCGGCCGGGGCGCGTCGCGCGTGTCGCGTGGCTCCGTCGGCCCAAAGAGAGGCCCAGAGGGCCCCAAGAAGCCCCAAGACGGTCTCCGGCGGCCCCGACTCGGCGAACAGTCGGTCCAAGACGCCCACGGTGGCCTGCAGTCGGCCGAAAAGGGTCCAAGGCTTCCTCCTCCTCCTCCTCCTCCTCCTCCTCCTGGACCCGATCCCACGCGAAGTCAGGCTCCGCGCCACGCACCACCTCCGCCACCGCATGCCTCGTGGCACCCCAGGAACTCTCCCAGGAGGGCTCCGCAAGGGCCGAACCATTGGTCTTGTCACATTCTGAGGGTCCTCGACTTTTCGAGCTTCCGACGCTCCAAGGCGGCCCAAGAAGCTCCCAAGACCGTCACAAGACGGGCCAAGAAGCTCCCAGACAGCCCAGGAGGACTCCGCCCCAGAGGCGCCCAGGATGGCTCAAGATGGCCTGAAGACAGCCCCAATGAGGGTCCAAGAGGGGGAACACGAGCGGACAAGCATCAGTCTTGCGCCCCAAGGGGGCCCCAGGAGGCCCCAAGGAGGCACCAAGACGCCTTCAAGAGTCCCCAAGAGACCCCCAATAGGCTCCAAAACGCCGCCAAACGGCCCCCCTGAGGCCTCCAAACGGCCCCCAAGCGGCCCCCGAGAGGCCCGCCGCGACATCCCAACGAACACTCTAGAGGCCTATGACCCACAACCAAGGCACGGTGGCGAGATTGGCCGAAAGTCATTCGATCCGCCACCCCCTGTGCCAACAGGGGTGCCTGGCGTGCTGAAGCTCTAATGGCTTTTGGTTCTTTTAGAACTCCTTCTGGGGCTTCGGTCTAGCGCGCCGGGCCACCTGGAATGTGTAACGCCCGTTGGTCTCCCCGCCCAAACTGGTCTCTAGAGGGCCTCCAAGACGACCAAGATGGTCCAAGACGTCCTCTAAGTTCGCCCAGGATAGTCCAAGATGGTCTCCAAGACGGGCCACGCGGGTCCAAGATGCTTCTAAGTCCGCTGAAGAAGCCACCCAGACGGTCCAAACTGGCTTCAAGATGGCCCAAGAGGCCCCCAAGAGGCCTCCAAGACGGCCCAAGAAGCCTCCTGAAGGGTATTCAGGAACGCCTGAGGAGGCAAAAGCCATTGATTCCCAACTCTCTCGTGTGTTGGGTCCTCGTTTTAAATTCGCAGCGACGCGCGTCTCCTCCTCCTCCTGTGCTCTCCTCCTCTCCTCTCTTCTCTCTCCCTCGTCATCCATGTCGTCGTCATCATCATCATCGTCATCACCATCATCACCATCATCATCACAATCATCGTCATCATCGTCATCATCATCAGCAGCATCATCATAACCATCATCATCATCATCATCATCATCATCATCATCATCATCATCCACCACCATCACCATCACCATCACCATCACCATCACCATCATCATCATCATCATCATCATCATCATCATCATCACCATCATCATCATCGTCATCATCATCATCATCACCACATTCATCATCATCACCATCACCATCACCATCACCATCATCATCATCATCATCATCATCATCATCATCATCATTATCATCATCATAATCATCATCATCATCATCATCATCATCATCATCATCATCATCATCATCATCATCATCATCATCATCATCATCATCATCATATCATCATCATGACCATCACCATAACCATCATCGTCATCATCACCACGACCACCATCACTATCACCACCATCATCAGCATCATCATGACCATCATCACCATCGTCATCATCACCATCATCATCATCGTCGTCATCATCAGCAGCATCATCATCACCATCGTCATCGTCATCCACACTTTTCGCGGCCCCATGGGAAGCTCCACCGAAGGCCCCAGTGGCAAAATCCGCATGGTACATGCTCCATTTCGGTGCACCCCGCACACGCTTTGTGGCCTTATAGGGAGCTCAGCGGAAAGCCCCAGTGGCTGCGTCCGCATGGTGACTCGCCTCATGTCGGCGCACCCCTAACACGTTTCGCGGACCCATAGGGAGCCCCACCGAAGGCCTCAATGGCTGCGTCCGAATGGTGACTCGGTCCATCTCGGCGCACCCCTCACACGTTTCGTGGCGAAGGCCCCAGTGGCTGCGTCCGTATGGTGACTCCGGTCCATTCTGGCGCACCCCTCACGCGTTTCGTGGCCTACAAGGAGCTCCACCGAAGGCCTCAGTGGCTGCGTCCGCATGGTGACTCGCGCCATGTCGGCGCACCCGTCACACGTTTCGTGGGCCCCACAGGGAGCTCCACCGAAAGCCTCAGTGGCTGCGTCCGCATGGTGACTCGCTCCATTTCGGCGCACCCCTCACACGCTTCGTGGCCCCACATGGAGCTCCACCGATGGCCTCCGTGGCTGCGTCCGCGTATTGACTCACCCCAGTTCGGCGCAATCCTCGCACGTTTCGCGGGCCCCGGAGGGAGCTCCAACGAAGGCCCCAACGGCTGTCTCCGACTTGCGCGGTCACTTGCATGGCCACGGTGGCCGCCGCCGCGAAGCTGGGCTTCGAGGAGTTCCCCCGCGCAGCCGAGGCCTCGCACGCGCGGGACTTGTAGCCTCGCGGCGCAGTCGCGCCGCCCCCGCTGCAGGTGAACCCAGGCCAATCCCGTCTGGACTCGCAGCGCAGCGGCGGGCTTGCGAACTGCCTCTGCCCCCTCGGCCCCCGTCCGCCTGCTGCGCGGCGCACTTGTGCTCGCGTTCCCGTGCCCGATTCGAGCCGTGGGAATGCGTGCGGGGATGTGGCGGCGACGAATGTGGTCTTCCGTTTCTTGGCGAAGAGTTCACGGATACTGCAGATCCCTCCGGCTGCTCATGGGCAGTAAGCGTTCTGGCTAATATTCGCCACGCGTCTACAGTGGGTTGGATTCTTCGCCAGGGTATCTGTCCTTTGGTTTTGAAGAGATCTTGGCATTTCCTTCTTTTCGGCCTTCCGACGGCCCGAGACGGCCCAAGAGCCCCCCAAGATCGCCCAAGAGGTCTCCAAGATGACCTCAGAAGGGCCCAGGAGGCTTCCAACACTGCCCCCAAGAGGGCCTCAAGACGGCCCAAGAGGCCTCCAAGACGCCGAAGATGGCCTCCACAACGGCCCTGGAGCGCCCCAAGAATGCCACAAGTCGGCTCAGAGAGGCCCCCAAGACTGCTTCCGACGGCGGCAGACGTTCCCAAAGGCCCCCGAGAGGCCCAAGGAGGCCCCGAAGAGGCCTTCAAGAGGCCCCCAAGAAGCTCCCAGGGGACCCCAAGTGTGCCCCTAGAGGCTTCCAAGAGCCGTCCTCCTCCTTCTTCTGTTCCTTCTTCTCCTCCTCCTTCTCGTCTTCCTCCTCCTACTCTTAGTCCCTTTTCCTTCTTCTCCTCACTCTCCTCCTCCTCACGTGTTCCCCGAAAGGTTTCAACGACGGCTGGGGGAACACATGGTCCGATAGCTCTAGCCCAACTTTCAGCCACATAGGCGCTTCCAGAAAGGCAAGGGGGGCGGCGGTGATTCGCCGTAGGCGTCTTCGATATGTATAAACCAGACTTCGGGTGATAAAGGAGGTTGAGGTGGGGGATGGGTGCCGCTGTGGGTTTGCGATTGGCGCCGGATCGGATTCGCGATCTGTCTGTCTCTCGACCCCGCTCTCTACTGGTTCCGCTGCCAAGCCGCCGTCCTCACTGCCGACCGATTGATCTCACACCCGATAAAACTACCTCATCACCCATATGACGATGTCACGATCTAGTTTCACTATCGACGTACCGATATCAATCTTTAAACAGTTGTCTATCTATACTCTCTGTATACAAGACCGCGTTGGCGCTTCGCGCCGCGCACCTTGGTCCATGCAATGAAAATGCGAGAGAGGCATGTGAATCAAAACAACTATCGTTTTCGGTTGCAAGTTTCGACGTCACGGTCATCCTATTGTTGTTTCCTCTCCTTCCATCATGTGTTCTCTTCCTCTTCCTCTTCCTCATTCTCGCCTTGATTGCCCCGCGAACCCTGCCTCATCCTTCTCAGATTTGTTTGTGGAAGCTCCTCCGAGGCGAACTTCGGGAGGACCTCGCGAAAAGTCTGTAGGGGCTCATTGGAGACGTCCCTGGCGCCTTTTGGCGGCCTCTGGGGGGTTTCTCGGCCACCATGACGTGAACCGCCTCGGGTCACGATTGAATGCTTCTGGAAGGCATCTTGGGGCAATTCTAGCCCATCATGGGGCCCTCGGTGGCCAATTTATGAACCCTCTTAGGGCCGTCTTGGGGCTCTCTTGGAGTGCGAGGAAGCCTTTATTGGTCGTCTTTGGGTGGTTTTCGATGCCTCTCGGGCGTTCTCGGACGCCCAGAAGACCGAATAACCGAATAGCCCTAAATCGTACAAGCACATTTTATGTTTCGTTTCGAAGGCCTCTTGGAGGTGATATTTGGGCCGTCTTCGGGCGTTTGGCGGGGGTCTGGGGCCGCTGGGATTATCTTGGTCCGTCTTGGTGGTCTCTTGGGATCGCCGCCGCCGACCCGTTTCCACGGCTTGGCAAGGACTTCCAGATGCAAGGACTTGCCAGGGATGCCGTGTCGGGGGGGGTCTGCATGGTCCCAGATGAGAAAAATGTAGAAGAGGGAATCTACACTCTTACCAATCGCTATACCATTCATCATCTCACTGATCTGCATGCGTTGCCCGGGTGAGCTCCTTCTCACCTCGGCAGTTGTAAACTTTGCACTTTCGGTTCGTATTTCAAGCCCATTTTCGATTTGCATAGCGATTACATGTTGTATATATATATATTACGATTTGCATGTCTGTGGAAATATCGATTCGCGTCTGACTGTGCAGGTCGATTAATGTTTCGATTTGCATGTCTATTTGCATTTCGATCTACATTCCAATGTGCAATTCGATTTGCACTTGCATTCGTGTTTCGATGTGCATGTCGGTTTACATTTCGAGTCGAATTTAGATTACAATTGTATTGCCATTTCTATTTTCATTTCTATTTTCTCTTAGATTGCAAATCGATGTGATTTTCGGATTGATTTTGGATTCTTATTTTGACTGCAGTTGCCTTTGCATTCGAATTTGCATGCCGATTTGAACTTCCAATGGGATAGATGACGCCAAAAACTCGGGATACTCCGCGGGGCAGCCCACGGGGCAACCCGCGGGAGAATCCACGTGGCAAACCTACGGGGCAACCCGCGGGACAACCACAAGACACCCCACGGGACATCCGCGGGAGAACCCACGGCGCAAGCGCGGGACAATCACGGCACAACCGCGGGACACCCGCGGCACAGCCACGGCGAGGAGCCGCGGCACCACAGGACCTTTCTCTCCACGAGCTGTGGCCCTCTGCTGCGCCGTCACCTCGCCGCCCTCGCGCTGCTGCGCCTCGCCGCCACGCGCGACGCGAACCGAAGCCGCGCCGCTGCTCGCGTGGGGGCCCAGACCCCTTCGCGCTGTTCAACAATCACGACGGACAATCCTTTTTGCTATTTTCCGCCTCAGGGGGGCCCCTCGCGGGCCTCGGGGCCGTCAGAAAACGGCTCCGGATGCAACGCCGGCCCCCCGGGAAGGGGTCCAGACTTCTGAGGGGGCACGTCATGAAGAAATCACGACGTCGGGGGTCTGGGGGGGTCGCCTCGTTCTCGCCTCCCCCACCTCCGAGTTTTGAGCGCGCTGGGCCCCCCAGTGGCGGTGCATCCAGCGCGCTTGGCGCGCTGGGGGAGAGGGGTCCAACTCGAGTAGGGGATCGACTACATAAGCGATTTGCCCAAACATTGAAATTCCCGTCGAATCTGTGGAAAAACGCAGGATGTTCGTAGATGTGCGAGTATAATCAAGTCTAGGGTAATCCCACCAGCTCTCTGGGCGTCGGTGGTTTAGGGAGTTTCCTCTTCCACCCCTCCTTCTTCCCCTTCGGGGAGGGGTTTACCCCTCCCCCTACCCCATCCCCATGGACCTGGACAGGGGGTTCCGCGAGGTGTCGGAGCGTCCAAAACGGCCTCGGCGAGGAAGCAACAATCATTGGTTTTACTAGGGTTTTGGCCCCATTTTGGCCTCCTGGGGGAGGGGGGGGCGTAATCAAGGGACCCCCCTTCGTTGACCGATATCATCCAAGATGGTCCCAAGAGAGCCCCTAAAGCTTCCAAGAACGCTCTGGCAAGGCCCCCAAAGGAGCCCAGACGGGCCCAAAAGGCGCCCAGGAGGCCCCAAGAGGCCCCAGGATGGCCCCAAGATAGCCCCATTACGCTACCGATGAACCCCACATACTTAATTTTAATATTATGTGTTTGCTTAAGTTTATAATTTATGCGCAATTCTGCGTTCTGAGCCCTCGTCGCGAATGTTTCCCTATGTGTCATCCAACGCCATATTGCTTGAACCTCCTCCCTCTTCCTAGCCTTCTATCCTCAATCGAGGACAGGTTCGAGCCAGCCAGCGGCCGCGGTGAGGGACCACCCCCTGCGCACCCTCTATGGTGTCGAGAAAGAGCCACGCCTGCTATGCCCTGGACGACCGTCGTGCATAGCGGCCGCGGTGAGGGACCACCCCCTGCGCACCCTCTATGGTGTCGAGAAAATGCCACGCCTGCTATGCTGCCCTGGACGACCGTCGTGCATAGCGGCCGCGGTGAGGGACCACCCTGCTGCGCACCCCTGTGGTGTCGAGAAAGTGCCACTCCTGCCACGATCTGCGAGCGTGTCACGGATAGAGGCCGCGCTGAGGGACCACCCTCTGCGCACCCCCTGTGGTGTCGAGAAAGTGCCACTCCTGCCACGATCTGCGAGCGTGTCACGGATAGAGGCCGCGCTGAGGGACCACCCTCTGCGCACCCCCTGTGGTGTCGAGAAAGTGCCACTCCTGCCACGATCTGCGAGCGTGTCACGGATAGAGGCCGCGCTGAGGGACCACCCTCTGCGCACCCCCTGTGGTGTCGAGAAAGTGCCACTCCTGCCACGATCTGCGAGCGTGTCACGGATAGAGGCCGCGCTGAGGGACCACCCTCTGCGCACCCCCTGTGGTGTCGAGAAAGTGCCACTCCTGCCACGATCTGCGAGCGTGTCACGGATAGAGGCCGCGCTGAGGGACCACCCTCTGCGCACCCCCTGTGGTGTCGAGAAAGTGCCACTCCTGCCACGATCTGCGAACGGATACGAGAGGCCGCGCTGAGGGACCACCCTCTGCGCACCCCCTGTGGTGTCGAGAAAGTGCCACTCTGCGCGCATCTGCCACTCACGATCTGCGAGCGTGTCACGGATAGAGGCCGCGCTGAGGGACCACCCTCTGCGCACCCCCTGTGGTGTCGAGAAAGTGCCACTCCTGCCACGATCTGCGAGCGTGTCACGGATAGAGGCCGCGCTGAGGGACCACCCTCTGCGCACCCCCTGTGGTGTCGAGAAAGTGCCACTCCTGCCACGATCTGCGAGCGTGTCACGGATAGAGGCCGCGCTGAGGGACCACCCTCTGCGCACCCCCTGTGGTGTCGAGAAAGTGCCACTCCTGCCACGATCTGCGAGCGTGTCACGGATAGAGGCCGCGCTGAGGGACCACCCTCTGCGCACCCCTTGTGGTGTCGAGAACGTGCCACTCCTGCCACGATCTGCCTGTGCTGTCTGTGCTGCGGTGTGCTGTGCTGTGCTGTGTTGTGATGTGCTGTGCTGTGCTGTTCATGTGCCGTGCTGTGCTGTGTGTGTGTGTGTGAGAGAGATGCCCAGCATCTGGTGCGCGCGTCTTGACTGTATGATGCATGCAGTGAACACGCTAGGTGTGCACGATCATTGAATGATGTGTGTGCATGCGTGCGTGCGAGTATGTGCATGCATGGCTTGTGAACACGACGTGTGTCCCAATGAGGGTGATGTATGATGCGCGTTGTTGAGCTGAGCTGAGCTGTGCTGAGATGTGCTGTACTGTGCTGTGATGAGATGAACTGAACTGTGCTGAGCAGTGTTGTGCTGTGCTGTGTGCGTGAGGAGGAGGAGGAGGAGGAGGAGGAGGAGGAGGAGGAGGAGGAGGAGGAGGAGGAGGTGGAGGAGGGGAGGAGGGCGGGTGTGGGTGAGACGCCGGTGCGGCGCAGGTGGGAAGAAAACCATAACCCCACGAAGCATGTGGGGAAAAATGCCCCCAAAAGACCCCCAAAAGACCCCCAAGAGGACCCCAAGCGGCCTCCCCGAGGCACCCAAGACGCCCAAGAGTCATCAGGACCGCCAAAAGACCCCCGAGACGTCCCAAGAGGCTTCAAAACAACCGCCCACGAGACATCCCAAGGGGCTCCGAGAGGCATTCAAGCGACCTCCAAGAGACCCGAAGAGGCTTCACGAGGATCCCCGAAGCCCCCAAGATCCCCCCCAGACGCTCCAAGAGGTTTCCAAACCAACCCCCAAGAGACATCCTAAGAGGATCATATGTCCGCCCTGTTTCCTCCGCCTTCTCCTTGTCCTTCTTCTTCTTCCTCCTTCTCTCCTCCTCCTCCTCCTCCTCCTCCTCCTCCTCCTCCTCCTCCTCCTTATCCGTCTACTCATCATCCGAGAACCAGCACCATCAGCAACAACAGCAACATCACTAGCAACAGCAGCAGCAGCAACAGTACCAGCAGGAGCAAGAGCACCAACAATAACACTTGCAACCTTCGCCACAAAAGATCTCCCAATTCACCGTTGTTGCCCGCTCCGGTTCACTATGTGAGTCTCTTCTTCCCTTCTTCCGTCAGCTTTCCTGGGCATCGTTTCTGGATGGGCTGGTGGGGATATTTTTTTGATTCGCGGCCCGCAAGGAAAAGTCCAGAGGGCGGTATGACCGAGGCTGGGGCACAGCGACAGATAATTGGCGCGACACCGCGCAGAGTGCACTTGCAGATAATTAGAAAGAGGCGGCCACGGTTCAGCCCGCGGGTGGGGGCAAACCGAACGCGAGCCCAAGCCGCTGAGCGTGTGCCAACAGTTGAGGGCAAACGCGATGGGGACAGCCGAAGCCATGCTGCCAGCAAGCGGACCCCAAAAGCCGCTGAGCGTGTGCCAGCAGAGGGGGGCAACCGGGTGCAGGTGGAACCAGGTCGGACCCGCAGGTGGAGTACCGACTGTCAGGGAGGCGCGAGGAGAGACTAGCAGCACAACCTAAGGGGAAACGTGCCGGATCCACTCACTCGACACCCAGTGCGTGAGCGCCAACGTGTACGCGGGCCACACACAAGCCACCGAGGGGGGTCGAACCAGTGAGCATACTTCCCAAATGGCGGATGACGCAAGAGGAAGGCCTTCAGCCGGTGCCTCTGCCTCACGGCCCGCACTCCCAATCAAGGCCTGGGTGGGATTATTTCAGCCGACCACAGGCGCGGGCGCCCACGATGGCCGCGGGTACCATGGCTCGTGGTGCCTCTGCTCCCAGGAGGCACAAACTGTGGCCAAAGCCAACATCTAGCTCAGACGGCAGGGCGGTGCCTTTGGCCGACGACCCTGTCCGCCGCGGGCCGGCAAGCGGCCAAAACCGTGGGTGAGCATATATCGGCCGACCGCACGGGCTACACGCCCGTGTGTATGGGGGTCAGAAGTGGTAGTCGCTCCTGCGAGCGACGACGTGGAGCCACTGCGCGTTGCGGACTCCAAAGGATGGGGCACATGGAGGGGCCGCGGTCAGCGTCCGAGGCGTCCCGGCCCGCACACGGCACGGGCAAAGTGACGGGGTGCAGCGTGCCGAGAAGTGGGGAGAACACGCCTTCAGCGAGACTGCTGGTGGGGATACGCGAAGCGTCTAGAATTCCGTTTTGTAGTCGATCCCCTGTTCGGCCAACGCCGAGCCGAGTCATCCGCGCGGACCCCCGACAGCGTGTGCGTATGGTCAAAGAGCTTTTGGCTCAGCGTGTCGCGGCGGCGGCCCCAGCGACGCGCTGTGCCCTGCGAGAGGACGGCGCGTCGCTCTGCCTCGTGGAGTGGGGGGCCGGGAGAAGCTCGGCGTGTGGACGCCGAAGCGTGGTGGGCCAGACCCTGCGGCGCGACACGCTACGCCCAGATTCCAGGCCGTATGTTTTTTTCTTCGATGCCGTCCAGCCCGCCCGCGCGCGGCACGGCCATTCGACGGAGCCATGCAGGAGCCAAACGGCTTCGGTCGCAGCAAGGCTTGGCGTGAACATGCTCGAGACGTACACTCTCTTGACTGGCCGACCGTGGGCCCCTTGTCTATCTTCCGCGCGAGCTGGTCGAGCATGACACGGGGGCCTGCATCGAACACCTGCGTTGAGGGCAAAGGATAAAAAACGATGGATAAAGAATCCAGGGTCTGGAAACCAGTGGAATTCCAATCGTGGATTGGCCGTGGATGTCACCGCCGTCCTCATGAGATGAGGAAACATCCAGGATCCGAAGCCATTCCTCAACCAACGCCCCCACCGTAACATGTGGGTCTGTATCGAACGCCTGACCACTCAAGCCCTTTCCTCCTCTCTCTCGTCTCTGACTGCGACGGGGAGTGGCGACCGAGAAAACAAGGCGAAGGATGGCCAGCGGTGTAGCACTATTCACTGAGGCTGGCTTTCATTACTAGACGAGCTAACCTGTACTTGAAATGTCTTCGCGGGAGAGCGCAATTGGCCGACCACTTCGGCAATATGAACATGAAGCTCGGCCTCAGAACATTTTTCTGGCACCCTCTCGTGAATGGCCACGAATCTCATTAGGATGCGGTCGTTCGTCTCAGGTTGCAGTTTCCCCTCCTTGCTTTCTCAACGGCTCATCGACCCATCTTTTCATCCGATGAGCCGCGACCTGCCGACAGCGGACGACGACGGCGACGCGCTCGCGGTCGGCGCGCGCCTGGCCTGCCGTTGGCCACCGCCGGCGGCGCCGGGCCCGCCGCCGGGTGGCGGCTCTGGGCGGCGGCGGGCACCTCTGCTTCTCGATCTCGCTCGGCCGGACCGGGCCTCCACGTCTGGCCGTAGAGGCCTATAGCTCGGTGGCCTCGCCTGCCGACCTCGTGCCCTGTCTGGCTCCAGCCGGCAGCGGCAAGGAAGAGAAGCAACTTGTCGCTGGCGCCCCCCCCCCCACACTCGGGAGCGGCCAAGAGGGGGGTGTCCAAGAGGAGGGGGTGCAAATCATGGCCGGCGGCATGTGCGCGGCCCAGGGGGGGGCCACGGACATACGGCAGGTTCGTGTCGTGCCGACCCCAGCGTTGGTTTTTGACACCGCAAGGATCGTTCAACCTTAAACGATCGGCCGCTGCCGCAACGTCCGATCGTTCAACATCGATCGATTCTGGGTCGCCGGCGGCGTTCAACCTTGAACGCCCGCGCTGGGGTCGCCGCTGGTCGACACGACGCAAACCTACCGTAATAAGATGAGAAGAGGCGCCATGAGATCTGGGGAAATCTCACGGCCAACGCCATGATATCCGCCCCCCTAGTCATCACCCCCCTCTTTGCCCCCCCCCGACTCACCCTGCAGGGCGCCCCGCTCGCCCAGGGGGGGGCCACGGACATATTAAGATAAGAAGAGGCGCCATGAGATCTGGGGAAATCTCATGGCCAACGCCATGATATCCCCCCCCCCTAGTCATCACCCCCCTCTTTGCCCCCCCCCGACTCACCCTGCAGGGCGCCCCGCTCGCCCAGGGGGGGGCCACGGACATATTAAGATAAGAAGAGGCGCCATGAGATCTGGGGAAATCTCATGGCCAACGCCATGATATCCCCCCCCCCCCTAGTCATCACCCCCCTCCTTGCCCCCCCCCCCGACTCACCCTGCAGGGCGCCCCGCTCGCCCCCTCCGCCCGCCGGCCCCGGAAGACCGCGGGCGGAGCCACGACGCGCGAAGGCCTTGGAGGCCGGCTGGACCTCCGCCCGCCCCCCGACGAAGAGGGAAGGGGGGAGCCCGCTCGACTCTGGAGGCGGGGAGGCGCCCAAGACTGGGACGCACATGGACATACTAATACTATATGTTCTCCTTGGAGGCGCGCGTCCGACCCGAACATATAGTATACCCATCTTGTAGTATATCGTTTCCCGAGCGGTGTGGCCAGAAAGCGCCCGCCACGACGCATATACTATAAGATTTCTCGGTGCGCGCGTCGCCCCTGGGGGGGCGACGCACATATAGTATAAGTATGTTGGGGTGTTGCCGAAAGACAGGCTGGGGATCTGGGCGTCCACAGACACCCACTTTCAACGGCTGGCCCCCTCATGTTAGGTCGGGCGTCTCCTCCTAGAGTGGGATTTAGGAAGAAACATCCAAAGAGTCAAACGGTCCCCCACGATAGCGAAACATAGTCGAAACCTCGTTCCCGGACTATTCTTTTGCCTATCTCGGAGCATTCCTCCCGTAGACGGACATGCCTAATTTGACAAACATACCCACTTCCAACGACCGGCCCCTTCTGGGGGGGGCCCCTCCGGGCCCACCCCGCCCCAAGCGCGCGGCGGAGCCCTCCCGTGGGACGGGGCGCGGCGGGGGGGCCCCCGCCTGCACCATGGCGATGTCGCGGTTTGGCTCGTAGGTGAAGCCGACGTCCTCGCGGCGAGTGCCGAGACGAAGCTAGGACGAGGGTACGGCAAGTTCGCGTCGTGTCGACCCCGGCGTTGGTTCCTGACACCGCGGGGATCGTTCAAACTTGAAATATGCGCCCTTTCAAAGAGGCCAGATTGTTTAAGGATGGGCCGATTCTGGGCCACAGGCAGCGTTCAACCTTAAACGCCCGCGCTGGGGTCGCCGCCAGTCGGCACGACGGAAACCTGCCGCAAAATCGGGTGAGGATTAATCGAAAAACTAAGATCTGGCGGCTCTGGAGGATGTCTCGGGCGCCGCGGCCTTCTCAGATGTCCTCGCGGCGAGTGCTGAGACGAAGCCAGGACGAAGATAACATCTCGGGCGCAACTTAACCGACCCCTGGCAGCCACCATCGCCTTCCGTGACGCCACCCTCGCCTTTCGAGCTTCCCTCTGGCCGCATACACGCACCTGGGCGCGAGGGGATGGTTTGCTAGAGTCGGTTATGCCGCCCCTGACAAACCAGGTGAAGATGAATCGAAGAACTCTGAGATCCGGCGGCTCTGGAGGATGTCTCGGGCGCCGCGGCCTTCTCAAAGCGCTCCGGCGGAGCGCTCTGAGAGCGTTCCGGAACGCTCTGAGACGGATTTCTCCTCGTCTTGGCCCCGTCCGAAGTGCAGGGGCAAGGGGCTGGCAGGCCCGAGCTGGGTCGCATCGCGAATCGGACCGCATCGGAAGCAGATCGAATCGCCAACGAACCGTTCTGAATCGAACCGAGATAAGATCGCCACGCCCGGCTCCGGCTGGCCCTGGCCGGAGCCGGTGGATCGGACCGAACTGGCTCGAATCGGAACCCCGGCACAAGCCAGCGAATCGAATCGCATCCAACTAGATCGTAGGAGGCCCTGGTCGGGCCTGGCGGGGGGTGGAGGAGCCCATCGCGCGCACCTGCGCGAGGGCATGCCGGCTGGCTGCCGCCGTCGGGACAAAAAAACGGCGCAGCACGGGATCGGCGCGCGAAAGACGGGCAACGGGAGGGAGGGCTGGGGTCGAGAAGTGTCAGCCCACATCTCCGACGGTCTGTTTGTCAAACGACGGGTCTGTCTCGTGTTCTGATTTGGGACTGCTGGGTTGGTTAGCGGGCCCCGGGACCATCAACAATGGATCTGGTGCGAAAACTGCCCCGGGGGGAGGGATCGGGACCTCTGGGGCCGCGGATCGAAAAACCCAGACCGCGGGCGTTGCGCAGCGGGCTGGCGTCTGCACGGGTCCCAGATCACTGTCGATGGCAGTGCCTGCCCCTGTCGAGACTCGGGTGCTGCTTCTGCGGTGGGAGGGCGGGGTGGGAGTGAGCGAGACGGCCGTCCTTCGGGGGGGGGGGACAGCTCGATCATCAGATTCGGGCGCCCCGCGATCACTTTATGTGGTTTCTTGACAACGACGAGGGGGGGGGGCATGTTGCCTCCCGCCTGCAGGCCCACCATCCCTGTCGCCAACCAAATGCAAAATGCACGTCGCGTCAATCGACTGGACCATGCGCGGGCGCCCCGCGATCATTTTGCAATACTATTTGGTAGTGATGCTTTGGTTGCCCAGGCACACGCGCGACGCACCTCGCGTGCGTCGCGCAGCTGGCTGGCGTCCACATTGATTCCCGATGGTTGTCGATGGCGGCCCCTGTCCATGCTGAAACTCGGATACTACTCATGTGTTGGGAAGGCGGGGGGAGTGAGCGAGACGGCTTGTGGCTTGTGGGTAGCTCGATTCCACCCCCTACCCCTCCCCTGGGTCTGGAAGGAGTGGGGCTGTCGAGTGCAATGGTTTTGCGTTGATGTCGCCAATATTTTGCCGAGCTCTTCGCATTGGTCTGAATATATCGTCGATGTATCTCGAAAGACCCCTTGCTGACAAGGCTTGCCACTGTAAAAAACAAGCACTTTTATCAAGCTGCTCAAGAACGTCCAAACCCCGTCCCCGCGGGGTCCAAACAGCCATCCTGGGGCCACCAATCCGAAGTCACAGAGTCCCTCCCGTTCCCAGGGCGCGGCGATCGCTGCGGACGGAGGAGGATGAGGATGAGGACGAGGAGGAATGAATGAGCTCAGGGACTCCTGCCACTGGAAGCCCGCTTGGAACGCATCGAATTGCCAAACAGTTGCATGAATCTGAAACAACAGTCGGATTATGAGGAGGCTCCTATCCTGAACCTGCCGAAAGGGTAGCGCGTCAATCAGCACAGGCCCATGGCCCGCGCTCAGGCCCACACGCAGCGAGCGTGACGAGGCGGGCTCTAAAGGCATGAGGCGCCTCAAGCTTCCCGTCTCCTCCCCCGCCCACCAGCTCATGCCCCGCTACTCTGCGGCCTTGCGGGCTCCTCAACTTTTTCCTGCACTCTCTGCCCTGCTTTTCCCGCACTCGCCTGCAGCTCAACTTGTTGGCCAGTGCGCCGAAGCCTGTGCATGTTCACGTCTTTCTCGCTGCCCTGGGAATGCAACAGCTGTCCAGTGTATGTCCGCTCAACGTCACACAATGGCATGGGATGAAATAGAGGAAGCCAAAAGGGCATAAACATAAACTTTCGACAGTCCGCGCGGATTTCTTGGATTCGCGCTGGACCCCCCTTCCTGGCGCGCGGAGCGCGCCAGGGGCGGCGCCGGAAGCGCCGCCAGGGGGGCCCAAAGCAGATCCAAGAAATCCGCGTGGACGGTCGAATGTTTATGTTCATGCCATGTTTTCTCCTTCGGGGGGAGGCCGAGCCGTTTAAGCCAGCAAGCCCGAGCATAAAGCAGACAGCGAATCAGCTCGACCTCGAGCCCACCTCCTGCTCATGCCCAGCCTGGCGGCCCCGGGACGCGACCGCCTCGGCCTCCCGGCACAACCCAAGCCTCCAAGACGTGCCGTGCGGTCCACTTCATCGAAGGGGCCCAGGGACACACACATGAATAAACACAAATCCCAGGATTCCCTACATTTCCCACAAGTCCTGAATGTTCGTCTTCTCCTCCACTTCTAATACTTTGTGTTTTGCGGGGGAATCGACGATCACTTGTGTCTGCGTGGTGTTTTTCCCTTCCTGGTTCATGATCCCCACTTCCTCCCGGCGGCGAGTCCTTGTTCTGCATGAACTTGGGCAACACCATGCGCCAGAAATCAGAGTGGGCCATGTGACGGGCGTCGAAGATACCGAACAGCATGCGCTGGGGAATGGGATCCTGCGAGCGGATAGGCGGGCGCTGCCCGGTGCGATGGCCCGCAGGCCTGGGTGGAAACGGCACCGATACTAACCACATGAAGCAACAGCCGGGCGCGGAACAAGTCTCTCATGGCAGGAAAAAGTGCCGTGGGCGAGAGGAGAAGGCGGCAGAGACGAGGGTGATGCGGTGGGGGTTCTCACGAATTTTTCTTCTTCTTCTTCTCCTCTTCCTCCTCCTCCTCCTCCTCCCCCTCCTCCTCTTCCCCTTCCTCCTCCTCCTCCTCCTCCTCCTCCAACTTCTTCTCCTTCTACTCCCTCCTAGTACTCCTCTTCCATATCCTGCTCCTCCTCCTCATCCTCCTCCTCCTTCTTTACTCCTATATACTTTCTCCTCTGCCTCCTCACTCATCCTTCCTCCTTCCTCCTCACCCTCCTCTTCCCCCCCCCCTTCCTCCTTCCTCCTTCTTTCTGCCTCCTCCTCCTCCTTCTCCCGTCCACGTCCTCCTCTTCCTCCTCCCGCCTCCTATTTCTCCTCGCCCTCTTTCTTCCTCCTCCTCCTGCTGGGCCCAGTCCTCTTCCTCCCTTCTCGTCCAACCCCTCCGCCGACAACCTTTACAGTGGCATCTCTGGTGACATTTGATGGAGGAAGTGGGCCTCCCTCGTGCCTTGCCTTCTTCCCTCCTCTTCCTTCTTCTCTCCCTCCTCCTTTCCCTACTTCTCCTCCCGCAGCGCGACGAGTGACGAGAAAAAGGTGAATGAAGAGGAGGGCAATAATCAAACAATGCAGATCATTGCGCTGTTAGCCGTGTGCCAAACTTTCCATATCAATGTCCTGGCCGAAACCTAAAACCATGCCTCTAGCCTCAGCGGCCTTGCCGGAAGCCCCGCATTTTACAAACCACGCAACTGATTTTATAAGTTCCTGCAGCAGATTATGGAAGATAAACCTTTGGGTCCCGCACGCATATCTGCCTTGCGTGATCTTGGCTACACCGATGGCTCTTGGCTACCCCGATAAATGTTGGCCCCTTCGATGTATACCGGTGTCTTTCCATCTATGCCCGCGTGCGTTTTAGCAACGGCAGCAGTTCCCTGGGCAACATTCAGCAACATGAACACACCATGAAAGCACTACGGTTTTAACAAGAACAGGGTATACTAGGGTATATGACAGGGGTGGATCGTGGTAGGGCGGTGCTACGTATGAATTTGCGTAGGCCACTTGCATGATGACGCGTGGCAGCGGATCGACGACAGTGGGCACAGGGGCTGGACACAAACGAGTGGATGTTAGCCAGCGTGGGCCCCCAACGGTGTGTTCTAGCAAACTGGGCGGTGCACCATATGTGGTGCAGAACTTTGTGGCCGAAGCTATGTTGTGCAATCTGCGTGGTGCAAACTATGTGGTGTAAGCTATGTGGTGAATGCTAGGATGTGCGATACATGTGGTGTGAACTATGTGGTGTACGGTCGATGATGCAATCCAAGTGGCACATCCTCACGTGCCCATCGCGTGTGCACTATGCGGTGTAAGTTTTGTGGTGCCTTTTGTGATGCGATCTATAGGATGTGAACTGTAAAATGCAATCATTTTTTTTGTGCAGGCCCATCTGGTGCAGCCCATGTTGTGTAAGCTATGTGGTGCAATCTAGATGGTGCGGCCTCATCAGTGCAGTATGTGTGGTGCGAACTGTAGTCTTGCAGTAAATGCAAGCTGTGTGGTGTGACCTATGTGATGTAAACTGTGTGGTGCAACTACTGTGATATAATATATGCTGTGCAAGCTATGTTGTGCAAGCCACGTGGTGCAAACTATAGATGTATAGCCATACATATATATGTATGCATATACATAAGATGGGGTGATCTACGTGGTGTAAGCTATGTTGTGCAATACATGCGGTGCACTCTATGTGGTGCAACTTCGCCCTGCCGAATTTGTAATTGTCGACCCCACTGCTCGCGCAATCATCCCGCCCACCCACCCACAACTCGGTTTGCATAACCCATGCGGAAGTGATTACGATGAGTGCTTGGTGTGGGTTGTGCATCTCTGAGGCCGCGCTAGCCCGCGCATGCTCGCGCGCGCATCGGCCAACTAGTTTGGCGCGACCGACGCGAACGCGGTATGATGGCAACGTCGACAACGGTAGACACGATGATGAGCGTAGCGATGCTGGTGACGATGTTGGCAACGACGACGGCACGGCCAGTGACGGCGCCGAAGTTGATCACGCCGGCGACCCACGATGACTGCGTCCCCGCGTCGGTGATGAAAATCTTGGCAGAATTCGACGTGCGCGCGCGGCCGACGCGCGAGAGTGGCCCGCATGGTTTAATTTGGCGCGGATCGTGCCCCCCCCCCCCAGAACGCTCGCAAGGTTGCTCGAATGATTTCGGCATGCGGCGCGAGAGGTCCTTTTGGCAGAATCCCATGAACATGTTGAAGAACCTATGGTTTCCTTACGCATCCGCAAGAGCGCGAGCGCAAGCCTTTTTGAAAACTGATGTTGCGAAACCATGTTCTTTTGACAATGTTTGCGACATTCCGACTTGAAATCCTTACGAGACCTACGGCTTTTTGACGGGTTTCGGCATGCGCGCGCGAGGACGCGCGCGCATTTCGTCCCGCTGTTTGCAAAAGGATTCTTGCGACAGCACGCGCACAAAAAGGGCTTTCGAATGATTTCGACCTGCGCGCGCGAAGCCCCATTTGGAAGCATTCTATGAACTGTTGGAAAAACTTATGGTTTCCTTGAGAATTCGCAGGAGCGCGAGCGCAAATTTGTTGTTGAAAACCCTTGTTGCGAGCACTCATGTTTCTACATGTTTTATGGGTATTCGATTTTGGAAAACTTTACGGAACCTAAGGTTCTTTGAAGGATTACGGTATGCGCGCGCGACGACGCGCGCGTGTGCACGTCGCCCCGTTTTGATGCAAACGATTTTTGCAAACCGATGATTTTTGATAAACGAGTGCGCGCGCTTGATGTTTTGCAGTGGATAGCGGGGGGTTCGATGCATACCGTTCCCCTTCGGTGGTCTGTATTTAGATTTAGGATGGACGATGGGGCATAATCAAATGTACATGGCAAGTACCGGTAATCCTGGGGGGGGGGTCGAATCTATTCTCTGGTAAGAAAATCAAATCGTTTTTGCTGGCATTGGGTTGTCAAAGCCACTGCTCGCGCAATCTTCCCACCCAACCGCAACTTGGTTTGCAGAGCCCATGGGGCGGCAATTGTGATGGCTGCATGGCGCTGGCTGGCGCATCGCTGCGGGCGCGCTAGTGCGCGCAGGTTCGCGCGCAGAGCGGCCAACTAGTCTGGCGCGGCCGGCGCGCCGCGGTGGCGCTGACCGCTGGGCACTTCCCAGCGCGTCTCGCAGGCCGCGTCGGCGCGCGAACAATGCAGTGCGAGTCGGTGATTTGGGCGGGCGCGGTTTCATGGCGACGTTGGCAACGGTCGACGCGCTGGTGATAATAGCGATGCTGGTGACGCAGACGACGATAATAGCGATGGCGATGATAATAGCAATGACGATGGCGACGGCACGTCCAATGACAGCGCCGATGCTGATCACGCCGATGACGATGATGGTGTCCTCGCGTCGGTGATGGAGGTTTTGGAGAGATTTCGACATGCGCGCGCGGCCGGCGCGCGCGAGTGGGCCGCATGGTATTGCCGACAAGGGGTCGTGCCCCCCCAGCACGCGCGCACAGGCGTTCAAATAATTTCGACCTGCGCGCGCGGGAGGCCGCATTGGTCGCACTTGATGAACATGTTGCGCGGTTTTCTTATGGGTTCGCAAGAACGCGCGCAAACTTTTTCGAAAACTGATGCTGCACAACCGCATGATTTTCGCACGATGCCGGGGAACCAAATTTTGAAATCCTTACGCTGCCGAAGTTGTTTTAAAGATTTCGGCATGTGTGCGCGACGAAGAACGCGCGCGCCCTCCGTCCCATGTTTTGCAAGAGGTTCTCAAAGACTGGTGTTTCTGGATAAGCGAGGTGTGCGCGCAATTCTGGATAAGTCATTTTGCCAAACTTGGTGATGATATATGTTTCGGGGCGCTCAATTTGAAATCCTTGCGACAACTTAGGTTCGCGAGTGATTTCGGCGTGCGCGCGACGACGCGCGCGCGTGCACGACGTCCAATGGTTTCACGCGGTTCCCGACACCTGATGGTTTTTGGTAAGCGAGCGTGCGCGCAACATGCGCGAGCAAGAGGCGTGTTCGGTCGAATTTGATGAACGTGTTGAAACACCTATGTTCTTAATATTCGAAATGGCGCGCCTTTTTTTGGTTTGGAAAACGCATGTTGCAAAACCATAGGTTTCAGATGCTACCGGGGCACTCGATTAAAACAAAAAAAACCATGCAGCGCGTTGGGTTTGGGGTGGTTTTCGGCATGCGCGCGTCACGACGCGCGCGTGTGCACTTCGTCCCGTGTTTTTGCGAAGGTCTCGTGAAGCTGGGGGATTTTTGATGAACGGGTGTGCGCGCAGTTTTCTGTTATAGCCCCCCAAAAATGGGTGGGTGGGTGGGTGGGGTGGGTGGGTGGGTGGGTGGGTGGGTGGTGGTGGTGGGGGGGGGGGGGGGGGCGGGCGGGGGGGGGGGGGGGGGGGCATGTGGCGACTGTTGCTTGGCATGGTATGAATCTAAATATAGGATTGACGAATGCGCAGAGTCATGCATGGAAACGATGCGAACCAGGGCCCCGTGAACTCTGGGGGGGGGGGGGGGTAGATCCTAGCGCTCTCTTAACAGGGGGAATGTGCGTGGTGTATTAGAGGTGGTGTAATCTATGTGTTGTGCGCCGTATGGTCAATCCATGTCAAGCAATCCATGTTGTGCAAGCTGCGCGGGGCAAAACACTTGGCTGCTATGCAAACGCGTGCAAAGCAACGCAAGGCAATGCAGAGCAATGCTTTGCAGTGAAAGGCAACGTAATGCGAAACAGCGCAAACCAATGCAATGCGAATCGATGCAAAGCAATGCAATGCAATGCGACTCA